AAAAAAAAAAGAAAAAACAACCAGCCTCCCCCAAATCCCCCTGCCTCCCTTATACTGTCACTCCGGTCAGCACTTGCAGAATGTTGGAATGATGGTTGTCCTTCCAAAAGTAGCATCCAGCAGGATGCATGTGATAGCATTTTCACCATCTTCCCTATATCAGCATGCCTTTACCATGAGGGAAGGGGGGGATTTAATTGAGGGCGCAAAAGAAACCAGTGCTCAGCTGTGCTGGTGGTACAAATCTAACAGGCCCTGGTGGGACACAAATGCTGTATTTGGTATCCTGCTGCTTCGCTGGGGCACAGCACACTGGGATCTTGATTTTCAGAGAAGCTTAACGTGCTTTCTAGCTTGACAATGGAATTGGGGTGATTCAGAGCAGAAAAGAAAGTCAGCTGCCATTAGTATCCAGGTGCCAGACGCAGATTTTGATTTTGAACACATTAGCGGCTGGATTCTTGGCTGTGAAGCAGCTAAATTTGTACTCCATTTAAGCAGTAGATTTTTAAATTTTTATTTATTTGTTTTTAGCCAGAGCCACAACTCACCTGCATCCAGATTTCTGATGCATGTACTTTCAGACTGTGCTGCTGGAATGTATTAGAGCACAGACCTGTGCCCATGTGTTGGATGAGAGATGTACGATTGCTTTTGCCAGTAAAAACTGAGGCCTAAACCTGACTGCATTTCTCTGACTACCAGTACTGGATCTAAGTGTGACTCTGTGGTACTGAGTGGTTCATGCATGGGAACACTTCAGTTTTAGTTTTTATAATCCTTTAAAAGTTAAGGTTTCAACCCTTAATTGGTCCACATAGAGGCAGGAGCCCAACTTGTTCTTCATTTAAGAAGGGTCAGTTCAGGCCTGGGGTAAAAGTCATCAGTTTGCAGGTGGATACAGTTGCAGTCTGTTACCTCCTCACTAGTGTGTGGTGTTCAAGATGACCAGTCATCCAAAGCTTAGTCTCGTTCTTTAAACTACTCGTGTAGACTTCTCACTTTTAAAGCAGTAACATAGATGTCTCTACAGCACTGCATCCCACCTCTCTTAGATACCTTTTTCAAGGTGGGATGAATCAGTCTATGGTGCTACCTTCTTCCCTCCATTTGCTACAGACAAAACCCTAAATCTGTGTTTAGAGAGAACTCCTAGCTCTTACATGGCTAATGCTAGGGGAGGCACATCTACCACTCACCCATTGGGTTGGGAGTGTTGGAAAGACTGAGTAAAGACTCCTAGAAAACTAGATATGCTGTGCTTCAAACATAAGAATTATGTGAGAATGAAAGGGCTTGTAACAGAGAACAAATGTGCAGGAAAGACTTCTGCAGTGCCCCTTCTTGACCACTTACTGAAACCAATTAATAGTTTTGAAAATGGGGATGACTGTAAGAAACGAAGTAAAATTCTCTCTCTTTCCTTGGTTATTTTGTTTGAAATGCTCTTAAAGGTCAGAAAAATCATTCGAACTGATGGGCACCAAGAAAGCAGGCCATCGTTGTTTATTGACCATTTTGTCATATGTTTCTTTAGGTTCAAATCCTTAAGGCACGAGAGGAGACATTGTTGTGTTCTTGCCTGTAGGGGATATTGTTTCTCCTGAGGATTCAGCTGAAATATTTCTGCTGATTTCCAGGAGGACACATTTCACATCCACCCTCTTCTGTGTAATACGGAATAATAGTTTTCCCGTGTCTAGGACAACTCGTGCCAGAGCACTGCATGGCTGTGACACTGCAGCATCGCACCGATGAACAGCACTGAGCTACTGCCATAGCCAGTGCAGCACCATTAGCAAGGGGACAACTGCATTTCTTTCTCTTCTCCAGAAGCCCATGGCTACAGCAGAACTCTATCTTAAACCTTCTCTCTGGTCACTTGTGTTCGTAAGGATATGTAATCTAAGAATTTGTAGCTTGACAAATGTTAGAGTGAGATCATTTACCACATAGGATTGCCCAAGTTTGGCAGGTTGCGTTGAAGTCATGCATAAAATAAATGTTAACATATTACTTAGGGAAAAAAGAAATTTCTTCTAAGGATTATCAGGGAAAGAAGGGAGAATCAGTGCTTCATTCTTTCTAGGCTCAACAGCCACTGCCTGAAGCACTTGAAAAATCCTTATACCAAATGCTTGCAGTCACTTCTGTATTAAGCTCCTGTATGCTGCCTATTATTTGGTCAGCTCATGGTTTCCTCTGTGAATATATATGCTAGGCAGAACAATGTCTTTGTTTGAGTTGATGAAAAAAACTCATAAACTCCAAAGGTAGTTTTTCATGAGAACAGGCAGAGAGAATATATTTGTGCTCTGTGGGGTAAGAAGCATCTTCTTACACACTTATATTATGTGCAGTGCAACAGCATCCTGCACTGCCATTTCAGTGAAGTCTGAGGCCAGTACAATGGAAACAAGTAAATCTGCAAGTACATAGGTAAATATCCTTAAGCTTCAGATATGTGAGGGTTTCTGATGCTTAAAGCAGGTGAAAAAAGTGCAGGTGAAAATCTGCCATGATCTGTTTCCTTACCTGTGGGAGTGTTTTGAGATAGGGCTGAAGACTTCATGTAAGGGAGAATTTCTTCTGGAGATTCCCTTAGGTAGGCATACTGGTACAAGCAGCAGGCAACACCACCACCCTCTTGGAAAGCAGCCTGGAGGGGCACAGGCAGGACATGTTCCTCAGCAAAAAAACTTCTTTTCACTGTAGTCCTTCCTGCCCTGGAGTCATTCAGTATGCTGGTCTGACCAGGCTACATGATAAATCTAGATTTATCTGAGAAGATCATGCTGAGAGAGGGGGAAACGAAAGAAAGGAGTGTCAGGAAGATCATCCAGACCACATCATGTAGATCAAGTAGGTCATCCTCATGAAAAATTCATGTAGATAAAAGTATGCATTTACTGCTGCTCAGACTGTCCAGTTCTGAAATGGAAATTAGGATACCAGGAATTAATACCTTTACTTGGCTTATTGCTCAGTCAGGTTTTGAACTGACACACCTGGCAAAAGACAACTTTTTTACATTTTAAAAATGTTTCAGTAATCTCTTGTGAAACTGTACTTGGTAAAAACTGTTAAATAAAACATTTAGGGTTTCTGAGAAGGAGAGAGATGGAAGTCAGAGTTTCCTTCACAAGAGACTTGTTTTAAAGACATAATTCAGCATTGCTTTAAAAAAAAAAAAGTGTTCACTAATACAATCCAAGGTGATTCCTGCCATTACAGTCTTATTATCATTGAATAACATGAAATGAAGGATGCATAACCACTTTTCAAATTGAATTGTAAAATACATCTTATTTCCCTACTGAAAATGAACAACAAATTAGAGGATAATGTGCAGGAGAAGAACAAACACTGAAATTGGACATTTAATTGTAGGTTCTTAGAGAGAGAATGATGAAAATTCTGTAATCCCGGCAAGGGAATAAATTAGGTGAACTTTTTTAGTAAGGAGAAGATTCTTCTGGCAGACTCCCAATGAAGTCAAAGGGAATTGTTCCTTAGTCCTGAATTGCAGGATCAGGCAGGAAGAGTAGTTCATCATGCAGAAAAAGTTCCAGATGATTACTATGAGCGGGTCTGCAATAATTACAGAAATCACCTAATAAGCATTTAAGATGATTATGTTGTCTTTCAAAAAGTCATCAGCCCAAAAAATGACATTAAAATTGTACACATGAGTGTGACAAACTGCCAGCAGAATCATATTTCTAACACTGCTGTACTCTGGCTCAGTAAGCCCTAAAAGCCTTGGCCACTTTCATAATTCTCTCTTCCTTTTGGTTGTCATTTCTGTCATTTTCCCAGTTATTAATATTTTCCTGTTAAGAATTCTTAGATCTTACTTGTTCCTTTACATCTTATTCTCTGTTGGCAACAAAGCATCATTCCAAAGAAATGGCTTTTCTAAAGACTCTGAGCTTGTCCATTTTCCATCCACCTAAAAGTGGTCATTTCAATGCATATGTTTCATTTGTTCTTTAGTAGCTCTTCTCCATACCACATTTTCCTCCTCGTCCCAAGATTAATCTTTTTTCAACCTTAAAGGTATTTATGTGTAACATTGCATTATTTCAAAATGATTGGGACTTTGTCCTACAAGAATTTAGAAATGTTTTTATTTATGTAATTAATTCTCGGAGTTAAATGGAAGCACTCCTACGTGTAAAGTTAGTGTTGTGGGAATTTGTACATTCAGGACCTAAACAATATTGCATACATTTAGATTAGCACTATAGATTATTTAGTTGCACTGCTGGGACTGAAATCAGAAGAAATTAGTCTGCATCCTTGATTCTGAGAATGTGGGAACTTTCTTCTTTACAGTCCATAGTAATTCATTGCTCTAATTTAAGTTGCATTTGAAACATAGCAAGTAGTTACGAAGGTTTCAAAGATGATGCATTTTTGGGAAAAAAAGGTTTAGTGAGAAGTTTTGTCACTCAGGTTAATCA